TCCTTTACCTCCATGAAGATGGAGTTGCAGTCTTTATTAAACTCGTACTTGGGGACGTATGGTTTAAATTCTTTCTTTTTCTTCTGGGACGGCTGGTCAGAGTCAGTAACCGCCCAGACTTCTTTTCTTTTCTTGCTCTCTTCTTTGTTTTTAGTCGGCTGAGCTGACCGACTGTCTTTCTGTTTGTCAGACTTCTTGGAGTCTGACTGGCTACCAGGCTAAGCAGAGGTCGGTAGCTTGAATGTAGCTTTCCGCCTCCCTCAGGGCCGCCTGTAGGGTGAAAGCCTCTTTTCTGACTAGGTCAAACTTAAAGGTCGACCCGTCTCTCAGACCTTTAAAAAAGTCTGTAAAAGCTACCTCATCAGACAGTCCCTGAATCTGAATTCTGATCAGGTTGAACCGCCTAACATATGAGCGCAACCCTTCTCTCTCTCTGCTTAACAGTGCTCAAATCAAGGCTTGTTTTCTTAGCAGGGATGTTCATTGAGAAGTTGGAAGCAAACAGGAAGGCAAGCTTCCTGAAGCTGTCTATAGACCCGGCTGGCAGGTTGCCAAACCATTGTTGGGCAATGCCCTTCAATGTAGCCGGAAAGCTTCGACACCAAGTGGCATCATCCAACCCCTGCAGATACATGAGGTTGGTGTAAGCCATGAGGTGGACTTCCGGATTGGTGGTACCATCATAGGTACCAACCAACACATTCTTAACCTTGGCCGGCTGAGCCGCCTCGGTTATCTCCCGAGTGAACGCAGAAGGTTGTTCACCCAGGCGCAGCAGGCGAAGCTGCCAGTCCAATGGCTGGACATTTGGATATGCCGCCTGACCCCCCAAAGAAGGCCGGCTGCATGAAGTGAGGAGGATACTGTCCGTAAGCCTGAGTAGGCACATACAGTACATTTCCAATCATATGAGGGCCAGAATGGACGGTATTACTGCCTGTCTGACTCTCATGCAAGGAGGGTGCACTCCCTGCAGAAATATTGTTGAAGCTGTCTGGAAAGTTCGACGTTGAAGCCGACTCAGACAGCGATTGATTTCTCTTCCGGTTGATGATCTCCCGGGCATCGAGAGTTGATTTTTTACTTCTCACCGGCTGATGAGGCCGGCGAGGGTTATTGGTGTTCCCCCCCAGGAAGGAGAATTTTCGACCAATCGATGGTCCCGGCTGCCTTCTCCTTTGGGTGAGGAGTGGGCTGCCGGTTTCTGACTGAATTCCCCTTCTCTGGAGGAGTCTTCTTCTCCAACTGACCTTTACTTGGGCCAGCCTGGCTTTTGGTGATCAGCTTTGTAATTTCACCCTTGAAACTCGTCATGAACCTCATGAGTTCGTCTCGGGTGACAGGGGCCGATCCAGCTGCCGTTTGGGTTGCCCCTTCCGGCTTCCCAGTAGGTCTGCTCGGACCCGCTTGGGAGGCGCCCCGCTCCAGAGTCTCTCTGGGCCGGATGCGCTTGACTCTGAGAGAGTCGTCCTCGGCTGTAGAGGTTTCGACCTGAGGATCCTCATCCTCCTCATGGTCTGTAAAGAATTATGGGTCTTCGCCTAGATGGTTAGGGGGTGGTACAGACTCTTGAACCATCTTCGAGGTACTCTCCCCACAGACGGCGCCAAATGTTTTGGGTGTTTTTGTCCCTCGGGAGAGTTACAACATGAAGACTGATCCGGGGTGAGCTGTACCTGCAAAAAAAACAGAGACACCAGTTGGGTGGTGCTCCGCCTCCGACGCACAAGTTAGAAACTTGAAGGGAGAAAAAAGGTGCGGAAATTTAAGTGGGGATCTGCTCGGATTCCAAGCTCAGGATGTCTCTATCAAAGAGTAAAAAGTAATAAAATGGTAAAAAACGTCCCGTCAAAATGAGGGACATCTCCCTATTTATAGGGTCTTTGGGAATTGTGCCCCTGATTAGGTTACTGAACCCTAATCATTGGTGGCTGCGCTATTTGGCGGCATTCTCGGGATTTGGGCCTGAAGGCCGCCTTTTCCCTTGATTTCGGGAATGACACGTGTCGAGCAGGGATTGGTCCATTTTAGACCAATCTAGGGCTGACACGTGTCACCTTCTGATTGGGCCACGTGGCAGGGTAAAATTACCCTAAACACATAATGCATTATTTAGACGGATTTAAATTATCAAAGGGTACTCAATCACCATTCTTGAAACCAACTGCTAGTTCTACAATGCAATATCAATTTGGAGATGGTATTACTTTATTACAAAATAACTCAAGACATGTCATACTAGCTAAATAAAAAAAAAACTCAATTTAGCACTGTTTTTTATGAATTTGGAGATGATGATCCAACAGCCCTCAAGATACAGATGTGTACTCATGCTTCAAATGAAAATTTGAAGAGTCATGTTGGCCAAGAAGTAGAGTTGGAAGCTCCATTTGATCTGTTAAAAAGTAGACATGTAATATTGTTAGTAAGAAAAATAATTTCATTTGACTAACTATATTTACATATAAGAAATAAAATTATCTTAAAAAATTAGCTAACCTTGATGAACAAGTTTTTTTATTGTGTCCCTTTTGTCGACAAACACTACATGTCACCTTTGCTCGATTACCTTCATCCATCTCATTTCGTAATCTTTGGGAAGGAGGTCGTCCGGGACTGCGCTTGAGACTAGCATCGGCAACAATTTTTGGTCCTTTATAATGTGTCCAATAGTCTTTGTCAGGGATAGGATTAAAAGTTGCTCTATATGTTCCCATATATTCACCACTTGAATAAAATGGGTCAACAAATTGAGCTGGTGACAAACTATATGACCTACATACTGCAAGAACATGGGAACAAGGAATTTTGTATGTATGAAGCTTGTTACATGTGCAAGTTTTGTGACTAAGGTTGACTGTATGGGTATGAAAACTCTTTTTTTGTTCTCTATTGCCACGTCCAGTTGTCACTTGGTAGATGCCATTGTCTCGGTGATACATCTCAACCTTGTGATGAACTGCTTTAGCATCATTTGCTTCTATGTCCTTCGTTGTTTTATCGCTATACAAATGTCCATCAAGAAACCTTTTTTTGGATGATTCACGTCTTTGTACAAAATATGTATTCACTCGAAAGAATGTCAATTTGAGTATAACTCTAAAACCCATCAAGATTTTCATCTAAAAAAAATTGAAACAATTAATTTAAAACTAATTACTATTGAATACTGATTAACCCAATAATCTCCTAGAACTCTGAGCACTTGTAAGTGGTGCATGTCTGACATATACAATTGCAAAGTCTAATTCACCAAGCTTATATGAGTATAATCGGACGATACTCACAAATAATTTTTCATAATCAGGTTAAATTTTACCAATTTACATTGTTCCGTTAAAGTTTAATCTAATTGTTATGTAACCCCCCAGAAATTTCAGTTGAATTTTAATTAGAAAAGAAGGAAAGCATACCTGATTATAGTGATTTCAGAGATTGACTATGCTTCCTTCCCGATCGCATTTACCATCAGCGTGCAGTGTATAACAATAGTGAAATAATAAAACCTAAGAGAACTAGTTTTGAGACTCTAATTTTTAATTTAGACTTTTAAACGAAGCAATATTAACTCCTAGCTTCGTAATTTCTGAACCTACATGAACACTACTTTGAGAAATATTTTTAAGTGAACACTATTTTAGTAATTTATTTATTTATTAACACCAATTGGGCAAATCATTCGAAAAAGGAGGTTGCGTAAGATAGATATTAGAGGTAAACGAAGCAAGAAACTTAAAAATCATATTTCATAATCATTAATGAATTGAAAATTATGTTGAAGTTCTAGAAAAAAAATTGAAAAGTCAAGATAGCTAGATTGTGATGAAGAAAACTTAAAGAAGAGGTGAAACAGTAAAATAAAGCAAACAAAAGTTTGACAAATTAAAATAACTTAAGTTTAAACAAAATATTACGTAATACAAGCTTTAAGTAAAATAGCACAATTTTTCAAAAAAAAATAATAAATAAAAAATAAAAAATAAAAAATTAATGTTCACACAATATAACTAACTGATTTATGTATAAAAAAAAACACAAAATGTAAGCTAAAATAACATCATACTAGTTTAATCCCGTGCGTTGCACGAATTAAATAGCCATTATTTGTTTAAAAAGTTGTCAATTTTATATTAAATTTTTTTTCATAATCTTATTAATTAATGTTGAAAGCAGCAATGTATTTATTTAGTTTTGAAATATAGAAAAAAAATGATGATGTCAAAAACCGTTTAGGCGGGAAAATTTTTAATTAGAAATTGACATGTGTCCCTTAATGATGTCAGCATGTTTTGTTTTAGTAATAGTTAATAGATTTGAGCAAAATAACAGAAGGTATATATAATCTAAAATAAGTAATAACACATGTTTAAACAAATAACAAAGGAAATAAATAGCACTATTTTTAAGCGCAATAACATTAAATCATAAAACATTAATTTAAGGTTTCATACTAAATAACACAGTATAACAATAAAAATAACACGATTAAGTAACATAATACATATTTTATTAAAATAAAAAATCTAAAGTAGTTTTTGTAAGATAGCACATGTTTTAACAAAATAACACAAGGTTAAGCAAAATTAACATTATATTTGATGAAAAATAACATAAGGTATAATCTAAGCTCAACAAGAGCAGATTCAGTACCTTTACTTAACAGTATATTTGAGCAAATTAAATGTAATAATTCAAAATTTAACAAAAATTAAACCCTGATTAACAAAATAATTCACATTTCTTCAAATACTTACTTCTCTTGATGCAATTGAAAGTATTTTAGGTTAATTTTGGACATGCTTGAGGAGAAATTTTATCTTAGAATGATGCAATTGAAGAATTTTCAACCATTTCAAATGGTGAAATACAGAGAGAAAAAAGAAGAGTGAATTTCGTCCTCTTGTTTTTGCAATTGAAGAATTGATCTGTTTTTCATCCCTTACATATATACATATACATACACACACACAATATGACCAAGTTATAATGTGAACCAATTCTATAATAGGAACTAGAAACTAACTACAATCGTTAGATCTAAGTTGGATGCGCGTGTGATGAGCGGCCCAGATTATTTCACACATATTCAATTCATTTCCCAAAAATCAAGCTGGCTTTCTCTCTCCTTAAGCATTTTCTCTCTCATCCATTTCAAGGATCCTCTGAATTCTCCATTAAAGCTGCCTTCGAGCTTTCTCCATAAAAGCGACTTTCATGCTTTCACTACTCCATTGAAGCGGATTATGAGCTTTCTATATTCCATTAATGTAGTTTCTGAGGTAAGATTTTTTTAATTTTTTTTTTATAGATCACCGATTTTAATTTCATTAATTTTATATTCAGTATAGTCAATTTAGGGCTCTACATATTCTGAAAATTATATAGCAAAATTAGTGCATTGTTTCATTTAGATCTAGCTAAAATTTGAAGTTTGCTAGTTTAATTTGGTGAATTTTGTTCGTATTTCTTCTACAACGACTCTCAATTATTTGCTCGAGATGCAAATCGAGTTCAAAATATGTATAATTATAATATGCTTTACCTTGAAATTTCTCAAGTTTAAAAGTAATTTCATGGTAAAAAAATTGATGTTGTTTAATTGTTTACTGTAGAAATTGTGAATTATGTGTTGTACTTGTTTAATCTAATTTGTCGATTTTTTTTTGCTCATATATTTGTGCGATTCGGAGAGTTTGCAAACAAACATGATTGAGTTTGAGTTCAAAGCAATGGTGTGGTTAAGCTGCCAGCAAGATTGATGAGAGGAGAGTGTGGACTTTTGTGTAGGTTGAATTATTATTCTAGAATCTGTAAAATTATAAGTGGACTTGAATATAATTCCATAAAAAGTAAACTAAATATTTTTAATAGTAGATTAAATTTCTCAAAAAGTAGTAATCAATGAGTTTATGGTTGAGGTTTTTTCCCCATGTAATTAATAAGCATATAGATATACGATAAGAGTAAATAAAAAAAGGGGTGCTTGTATGCCCCTTCCTATAGCTTGGTCACCACCTGATGAGGGGTGGGGAAAGCTAAATGTTGATGCTGGAGTTGTAGAAAAGTTAGGAGTTGGTCTGGGGGCAGTGTTGCGTGACTGTAATGGCTCGGTTCAGGGTTGTTCTGTGGTGCAGGGCATTGAACGATTGGAGACAAATGTACCTGGAGCTATGGATATCATATGGGGTATGAAATTTGCGTATGGCTTGGGCGGGAGAAGTATTATTGTGGAAGGAGATTGCCTTGCTGTCATTCAGGCTTTGAGAAACAAGTCAGTAGGATCAAGCTCATCTACTTGTTTAGTTTTGCTCCAACTACTAGTGCTTTGTAACTATAGATCATCTTCACAATTTTTACATCTAGTTGTGCTCATGATTGTGCTAAAGAGAGTCATATCTATGAAATTGCTATTAGTTGGAAGTCTTATTTTGCTATTATCTATAATATGTTGCTATAGTTTTGCTCTACCTGTATCTAGCTAGTGCAGTTCTGCTCAATCTAGTGAGTTTGATTTTTACATAGTGCTATGATTGTTTCCTATGTTGTTTTTTCATGGTGTGGTGTTTGAGAAAATATCCTTCCTAAAGAGTGATCCCATCAATTACTAAAATGCTCTTATGTCTACATTTGTCCCTGGAAAAAGTATGTATATATTTGCTTCTTTATTTATTTGTCTTTATCAATCAAGTTTTAATTATCTTATTGTTGGCTTAATAAAGAATTATAAATTGCTAATAGTATTAGCTTGAAAGGAGGCACTATGGGGTGTATTGTAGTTGTTCTGAAATGGCAAAGGCAAGGCTATGCTCTAGAAAGACTTGATTTTAATTATTTGTGTTGCAGCAGATATATATATGAAGGTGTTCGCTTGATGAAAATAAATACTAGTAAAAATAATATAAAGTAAATTAAATCTAATCTAAAACAAATAAAAAAGACTTTAAAGTAAACCTTTTAGCTCAAGTGGTAGAGCACTATGCGGATACATAGGGGTGTAGGTTCGATTCCTACATAGGTTCTGAAAGTAATATTAGATACTCTAAAGTAATTCAAAACATCTCAAAAGTAAATCAAATTAGCTAAGGTATACAAACGAAAGAGGTTTTCTATTATATATCTAAGTAAATAGAGAAATTAAAAAGTAATTCAAAAATCATCTCTAAAGTGATTTAAAATAGCTCCTGTTCTTATATACCGAATCTGGAATATTGACTTATTGTTAGTATAACTATGAATGAAAGCAAGTAAATCCTACATAGTTAGGTTGGAGGAAGTTCCAAGGTTATAATTTATATCAATTACTGTTAGTTTAAGTGTTATAATATAGCAGAATTTGCAAACGTAGATATAAAATACTTAAAAGTAAATCGAAATATTCCAAAAGTAATTTGCCTGGGCTATCTGGTTTGTTCATCAGGCTCTTGGCGGAATGCGATGGTGGGTGTCACGGGGTTTTTTAAGCTCGTGGAAGACTTCAAACTCTATGCATCTGCTGTCTCAGAGGGAGCTGGGTATGTTCAGGTGAGTACAGGGGAGAGATTGGATTTATCTCGTGAGAAATTGGTGCACCCGGCTGATGGGCAGGTGAGAGTGAACGCATATGCTGCAGTTATGGAGGGGATTGGCGTGGAGATGGGGGTCTGCATTTGGGATTGCAAGGCAAAAGACCACCAGGATCAACATCAGGCGACGATGTTTTGGATGCATTAATCAAGAAAACTCTGAGGAATTAGAACTAGAAAAATTCCAAATCTATTACTGGTTTTCACTAGTTGATTTAGACATTTTTTTTTGCAGAACAACTTCTCTACATTATTAAAAATAACTCGATCTCTTGTCTGTAGAACCTGTTTGGTGCAGGTTCAGATACAACATCGACTACCCTTGAATGGGCATTGGCAGAACTTATTCGCAACCCTGAAAAACTGATGAAAGCACAAGCAGAGCTACAAGAAATCATAGGAAAAGGAAACCCGGTGGAAGAATCAGACATTTCACAGCTACCATACTTGCAGGCCATTGTCAAGGAAACCTTCAGGCTACACCCACCAACACCCTTCCTAGTACCGAGAAAAGTTGATGCAGATGTGAAGCTCTACGGTTACACAGTGCCTCAAAACGCACAAGTCCTGGTCAATGTATGGGCAATTGGAAGGGAATCAAATTTATGGGAGAACCCAAACTCATTTGAGCCGGAGAGGTTCATAGGATATAAATTGATGTAAAAGGTTGTGACTTTAAGCTGATTTCATTTGGTGCTGGTCGTAGATATGCCCTGGATTGTCATTGGCTCATCGGATGATCCATTTGATGCTCACTAATCCACAAGTTTGACTGGAAGCTAGAAGGAGGAATTCCACCAGTAAAAGTGGATATGGAAGATAAATTTGGGATCACATTGGAAAAAGCTCTCAGACTTCGTGTCATTATGCTTATTAATATCAATCATTATGCTTAGGATTTAATGACAAGAGAATTACAAGACCAAGTGTTCAATCAAAAGAATAACACGTTGACAATCACAGTGGTTTGCTGTAGTCCTGAAAAGATCAGGATCAAGCTTTTGTTGCAAAGCTGGCAAATCCATTAAGAGCATCGAGATCAAGCTTCCATCCAAGCCCCTGCTCCTCCCTTAACTGCCCAACCTGACAAACCTAAGCCTGCTCTTGCTCCAGCTCCTGCTCTAGCACGTGAGCCTCAAAAACCCAAGTCCGCTCCTTCTCCAGCACCTACGCCTGCAAAGCCTAAGCCATCTATTTCAGACATGGTAATAACATAACAACTCTATATCCTGCTCTAAAAGATGATTCTACTTAAAAATACAGAAGATGAATAAGGTTGAATAAGGTAATTCCTACATCAATTATCTTTAAAGTAAAAGTAAATTAAATCTAATCTAAAGTAAATAAAAAAAAAAATTTAAGTAAACCTACTAGCTCAAGTGGTAGAGCACTATGCGAATACATAGAGGTGTAGGTTCGATTCCTTAATAGGTTACCTCTAAAAATAAATACAAAACATTCTAAAGTTATTCAAAACACCGCAAAAGTATATCAAAATAACTAAAAAGATAATCAAATTATCTCTAAGATACACATATGATTAATTGGGTTTGGAGGCCTCGACTATAATTAAATCGAAAAACTTCAAAAATGTTGTCATATTTTTTCAAGAGTGGCTAAGAACCCAACTTCAACTCTATTTCTACCTCCAAATATATCTAAAGTAATCAAAAGTAGAACAGATTATATCTAAAGTAAATAAAATTAGCTTTTAAAAAATCAAAATTCAAAAAACATTATATAGCAACAATATGAATCGACTCTTCCAAAGTACCATTACATAGTATTTCATAGTAAGAAAGAGTAAGAAAAACTTGTTACACATACATGACCTCTTACATCGTACTTTCAAGTCATCCTCTTATATATCTCAAAAGTAAATGCAAAATAGTAAAAAGTAATTCAAAATATTCTAAAAGTAAATAAAAAATCTCAAAAGTAGGGTAAATACAAAATAATTTCATCTAATGAATAAACCTGCGTGGGATTCAAACCTACATCTTTTGTGCACTTACACAATGCTCTACCTTTGAGCTAGTAGGCTAGTGTGCATTAAAAATTCAAATAAAGTACAGAAAAATGGCTCAAAAGTAAATGAAAAAAATCTCAAATGTAGAGACCAAAAAAACCTATAAAGTATATGTGCAATCATAGGGATTTTGGGTCATTAGAGGAACTACTTTTCCATCACAGTCAAGAAATTGGTGTTCATAAAATTGAGCTAGTATATTAAGCATTGTAATAAATTAATATGATGGTGTTCAACATGTGCATAGAAAATTGCAGACATAACTGATTGCATGGAAGCTAATGTAAAAGTGGCAAATGGGTCTTTGGGAATAGGGTTTGTCTGAGTGAATTCAGTTGAGTGCATTGGGGTTGAGTCCATTGGTTCACATTGTATCCATCCATAATCTATTTCAAATATAATTGATATAAAAAGCACTATAAAGTAAATGAGATACAACTGCCATGGTTCTCCCAAACACTCGTTATTAGAGTCCTAGACAAAGAAGGCTCCAACAGAGTGTAGCAATGAGATACAACTGCCTAAACGCATAACAGAGTCTAATATGTCAGTTACAGGGTATAGCAATCTCAGAAACAAAGAATGTAGCGATTTCCCAAACAAAGTAGAGTAAACATACTTACAAATCATACATCCCATATAACAAATAAACTTACACATGATGGAAAGATTCAAACCAGGCAGTATGAAAACCTTAAGCTTATGATATATACTCGAATGCAATTCCTAAGATCAAATAAGTAGAAAGCAAAAAGGTAACAAGCAATAAAATATGAAAATCAAACAAAAACAATAGTTAAATTAAAATAAACTATATAACTATACAAATTCGACTGAAAACCCTAATTACAACAATTGAAATTAAAATTTTCAATCAAATAATAAAAAAAAAACCGTAAATTCAACAATTTACACATATTCGAAAATTAAACAGCAAAATCAACGATTTGGATCAAAGTTAAGGCAATACGAGTAAGTAGTTGAGCGCTTAATGAAAATCATTGAAGAACTAGTATAGAAAAGGAAGATTCGACGAATAGGAAGCGAAATTCAACAACAAAATTTCAAATGCGGAAACATAAAATTGTCCTAATATTACAACTGGAATCACAAATACTCAAACAAATGATTCGGAAAACCCTAATTTCGCAATCATAATCGCAAAATTGGATCAAAAAATCGAAATAAAATATAAAACACAAGAAATTTACCTCAATGAATAACAAAATCAAAGAATACGAAGTACTAGAATATCGAAATCAAAGAGTTTGAAAAATTAATGAGCACAAGCGAAGAATCGAAATCGCGAAATATAACCTTTGAGAGAATTCGAAGGTAGAGAGAGAACATGTGGAAGAAAAGAGAGAAAGTAAATGAAGGGCACATGAACTAGTAACTCATTATGACCGTTAGATTAAAAAAATATGGACGGATTAGATTTACCCGTAAAATGTCAGATCACACATTCATGCAATCATCTTTCTCATTCCAGATTCTCTCTCCTCCAAGTCGATAAACCTCTCTCCTCCATTGAAGCTAGTGTTATGAATTCTCCATTAGAGCAGATTTTGAGCTTTCTCTTCTCCATTAAAGCGACTTTCAAGCTTTCTTTACTCCATTGAAGCATCTTTTGAGGTAAGTTTTTTTTCTTCTATTTCTTAAATCAACGAGTTTCATCAATTTCACTATCTATGGTTTATCCATGATTAATTGTCAGTATGGTCAATTTAGGGTTCTTCATAGTGAAAATCGAATTTTAATTTACAATTTGAGGTTATGATTGATTATAAATGTACTTTTAATCGTTTCATAAAAAGTTTTATTTCGTTATTCTTTCTCTTTCGATTTTTTTTAGTCAATTTATTGTTTGATTGTGAAAAACCTACTATCTTTTTCGAATTTTGGCGAACTTCTGATCAAATTCCAAATTTAAGTAGGTTTATTTCACTAATTTTGTACTTAAATTTTATCATACTATATACGAAGTCAATTGAATTCTTGATTTATTAAAATATTAAGGAAATACTAGTATTTAATAAATGATTTTTATGATCATAATTTTGATTTTCTATAAGATTTTATTCTCCATGTTTTGCCTTTTTTTTTTTTTTTTTTTTTTTTTTTTTTTTTTTTTTTTTGCGATTTTCTTAGACTACTTTTCTTTTGTTATTTTTCCAGTTCAATTTTGCGGATTCCTACTTACTTTTCTTTTGTTATCTTTCCAGTTCAATTTTGCGAATTCCTACTATTTTTGTTAGTCTTAATTGTGGTATATTTGTACATTTTGGTCAAATGGATAAAGTCAAGTTTATGATGCTTGATAGTCCAAAATTCTCTAGTCTCTAACTTTCATTGCACATATGTTTTAATACATTGATGAGTACATTTAAATGACCTTGAATAAGTAAACTAAATTCCTGATCTTAAAGTAAATTAGATATCCTTAAAAGTAGAATAAATTGCTCCTAAAGTAAATAAAGTTTTTCTAGCAAGTTAGCAATTGCAAATGAGAGTCTCAATTTTCTCAGTGACTAACTAATTCATAAACATAAATGCACAATTATAAGATCTATGAATTTGTTTACTATTAATTTCTAATGATTGCCCTGTATCATCATTTGCAGTGTGCTTCAAGTAGAAAGCAGCTAAGACTAAGGGGTACCTACTACCTAAGCTAGTTATGCCAAAATAAGGCTGTATTTAAGCAAAAAGCCCCTGATTATGTCTTAGTTGCAGTTGGTTTTGTACAAATCATGGCAGACTACCTAAGTTAAGCTAAGAATGTCTAGCATCCTCCACCTTCCCACATTACAATCAACAATTCAAGCTGGTCTCCTTCCCTCTTGGCTGAGTATAGAATGAGAACGGGCAGGTTCTGCCTGCAAGAGTCAGGTGAGGCCAATAAAAGTGTTGAGCTAGTAAAAGTAAATCATTTAAATTTTAAAGTAAATTGAAAGACTGAATTTATGATTTATAATTAATAAGCTATTAAAATCAAAGTGGAATCCGACCATATGTACATCTGAAGCATGCCGAAGATACGTAGTTCACTTTAAATCGTTCACTTGGAAGCAGAGTAATTCTACTATCTAGGCCATTTGGTATATGATCCTTCTGTTTCTTACAGTAATTTTATATTTTGCAACATTTTCTTATGATAAATGTTAGGTTTTTTTTATCTTCTTCTCTTGAAGAACTTTACCAGCAATTGCTTCCTGCTGTTGGATGTTGCTGACTTCTCCATGAAGGTGGTTTTTGTGCCCTAATAAATTTATCAATTTCAGAAGTAGATATAAACCAAGTAAAAGTAAACCAATTACATTTTAAAGTATGAGTAATTGTTGTATGTTACAAATTGACCTCTTCTTTTGTCTTATGCAGGTTTTTATAAACTTATAGCCATCAAATGATTTGGCTATGGTAGGCCAGCCACTCACTAGCAATCTTATCCCCAATATATACATATGATTATGGATTGAGGAGGCTCCTCCTCGTGTAATGGATGTTGTTATGCTAGATTCTACTAGCATTCCTTTATAAAATCTGTTGCTGCTTTTTGTCAACAACAAAAAAATGTTCTCATTGCGAGAAATACATATGTTGTCTCTAAAAGTAAATAAAAAAGAATATAAAGTAAATAAAAAGGACTTTAAAGTAAACCTATTAGCTCAAGTGGTAGAGCACTATGCGAATGCATAGAGGTGTAGGTTCGATTCCTACATAGGTTCTCTGAAAATACATATTAAAACACTCTAAAGTTATTCAAATTAGCTCAAAAGTAAATCAAAATAACTAAAAAGTAAATCACATTAGCTCTAAATTATATGAAGAATAAATTAGCTTGAAATGATAAATAACAATGGAAACTTCGTTACATACTTATATCACAATAACTCCGAGTCATTAACTTTCATATCTGTAAAAGATAAGTCAAGTTAATTACTTCCTTCGTTTTTTATTATTGCACCATAGGAGTTGAGTACAAATATTTTGGTAGTGGAATAAAGTAAGAGAGAGAAAGGTAAAAATACAAAATTGCCCATGTGACATATTGATAAATTAAAAAGTAAGTATGAAAAAGCAAGGGTATGTTGGGTGTTTGTAGTGTGAACACAAATAATATTTTTCCTAAAGAGGAAATGGTGCAATATTTGTGAAACTTCCTAAAAAGGTAAGTGGTGCAATAATAAAAGAACGGAGGAAGTATAAGAAACAAATAAATTGACAGGCTTAAGTCGTATCACCCAATCAGAAGTGATTCCTAAATCCTCTAACTAATGCAAAATGGAAGTAGGGTCGAATCCACAGGGAAACAAGTCTTTCTATTCCTAATAAATCTAAGCAATCTAAATTATTAACTAACAAAATAATATTATGGTGAAAGGAATCTAAATTAAGGAGAGTAAAAGTAGGGAAGAATAAGAATAGAGAAAATCAATTAATAAATGACCTAGGGCATAGGTTCACCAATAAACAATATTCCAGGGTAAAACATAATAACCAATCATCAATGCATCAATGAACCAGATCATAAAGGGTTTTTGCTACGTATTACAATTACAGAATTAATCTACCGGTATTAAATCTCATCTCTCGAATCTCGACCTAACCGTTTATAATTAAATTAACATGTCTATTGAGACTAAGCCTAAATATCAATTCTCATCTCTCGAATCTCGAATCAATATTTCTAAACTCATACATAAAAGACCTGCGCAAATCTAGCTAGTTGCATAGCATTAAATTAATCAATAGGAAATTAATTAAGCATTGACAACCCCTTCATATTATTTATGGATCCCCATAAACCCTAAAAAGAAAACTACTCACACATAATTAAATCTAAACTAATCAAAGCAATTAAACAAGGCATCATGAATTAAAGAAATAAAATTACTAAAATTAATAGAGAAGAAATCGTTACCAAGTTAACGGAAATAATGAGTTGAATCAAGAGCAAAGAGTAAAGTTTTAGAGAGAGAAAATAAGAGAGGAATTAAACTAAATAGAGAGAAAAAGTCTAAGAGAAGAGATAAAAGAAAATTAAGAGAGAATAATAGAATGTAATCGTATAAAAACAACCCAAAACATATTTATACTAAGCTCCTAAAATCCTAATTAGAAACTAAGTAAAAATCGCTGGAATCAAGCTCTTCGAGACACGCGCCCGATCAGGAGAGGCACCGCCCGATCGGGCCCGCCTTTTTCCATTAGATGTCTTCTGTCGTACCCGGCCGGGCGCGAGCTCGGCGAAGGACTTCTTTTCTTCTTCCACCCTGCCGGCCGGGCGCGCCTTCGGGTGAGACCATCTTGGTCGGGCAAGGCCACTTGGGCTATTTCTTGGACTTCGATTGGGCTCTGATTCTTCGACCCAATCCGGATTTCCTCTTTGGGTCTTGAATACTCGGTCCAAATGTCTTGGTATCTCATATGTCGAGCCCTTAATCACCAGTTTGATGACTCTAACCGGCCTTGGGCTACGAAAAGTGGTCGTGCTCCTCCAAGATCATAGTTGCTCCATAAAATCCCGAAAAATGCTCCAAAAGTGCAATTCCCTACAAAATCAAGCAAAACTACGAAAAACATTAGAAAACACAAATTAGTAATATAAGTGGCTCTAAAGAGCCAAAAACACTACCAATTATGACCAAGGGACGAGAATAAAATACTATATAAAATAGACATATCATATATTGATTTTAATGTAGAGGTTTTCAAATTTAAAGTAAATAAAACTATATTGAAAGTAAACAAAAGAAAAAAAAAAGAAATTAGTAAAACATACAAATAATTAAACTTTATTGTGAAGCCTAATCTTTAGATTACACAAATGAACCTACGTGGGATTTGAACCCACATCTTTTGTGCAATTGCACAATGCTCTACCAGTTGAGCTAGTAGGCTAGTGTTTATTTCACAAACGATTTTTTTTTTTCAAAAAAACCTCAAAAGTTAATGAAAAAATATCAAAGGTAAATCAAAACATCTATACTTAATACATAGTACAATCATCGCGAGGGGTTTAAATCATTTCAAACAGCTCAAATAGCTAGAACCTGCATACATAAGATACCATTCCACCTGAAAGAAATTCAAAACTTACAATCTCGATTATTTGTTTATCCATTCAAAGTAAAGCTAAATAGCTCAAAAGTAAATAAAAAATCACAAAAAGTAAGTAAAAAAATTATATAGAGTATATGTTCTGCTCATTGTTGGTTGATGTTGTAACAATGATTATAGAGTGTGCTTTAGATGTGTGCTTGTCAAACAATAATACGAGTAGCCTCAAATAGAAGACATAAATAAACAAAAGGTACCACAAAACTAAATCCATCGTCTTAGCTTTTATGGGCAGTAAGATTTCATTAAGTTGCGTTTCTAGCAATTTCTATTCTTTTATGCTCAAGGCCTCAAGCCTGGCAAAACTTTACCCAGCAGCCTCCTACAAATTAATACAACAATGGTTATAACTCAAGCGACTGAGTTCAGAATAGTATAACATAGAGTTGAATCAATAACAAGTTCAAGAAAATATACATTTGTTTCACTTGGAGCCTTGATATCTCATCTTTCAGACTATCAATCTCCTTCAAATCTTTAATGTGCTAATAAGAGTACAGATTAATAAGAAAGGCTTGCATATACAAAATAGGCCAACGAATTGTGCAGCTGGCCTTAAACATCACAAAACATCCCTACCGTTATCCACACACTTTAACATTATCCATCCATACTGTCTAAAAATAACACTCAAAGGCTCTATGAAACATAAAGAAAGGGAGAAGTCTTTTTAATTAATTGCCCTTTCCCTTCACAATCCAAGAGATAAATTAAAAGTACTGCAAACCCAACAATTACAACCCCAATTGTCATTACTACCAGACGGTTTCTCAGTCAAATGGTAGCATAGCACCTCCTCCTAACAGAGCTCCACCAATTCATCATCATATTACAGTCTTTCTTCTTCTTTCAAGCATTTCATCAAACATGTAAAACTCAATGCTAAATCCCCCCCCCCCCCCCCAAAAAAATGTTACTTTAGTATTCATATACTATCTCGTACGACAAAAATCATAAAGAACTAAATTAAAAAATGCATTAACTACCCTAATTAAAACAAATAAAAATGAAAATCCTAAAAAATATCCTAAAAACACGAACACAAGAGAAATTGTAGTAATTTTAGCAATTTAAATTGTAATTTTAAAACAAATAATTGAAATAACCATAATTTCAACAATCAAAATTGTAAATACACAAACATATAATTGTATAATCCCTAATATATCAATTGAAATCACAACGACTCAAACAAATAATCGATAAAACCCTAAATCGCAAAAAACTTGTTTTAAATTCGAATTATCAAAAACCTTGAGCCTCCCCTTCCCTTGAACCACCAACCCCTTCCCCTTCCCTTGAACCATCAGCCCAGGAGAAGCTACGACGACCAACAAAACCATCCCACATGTTCTTTCTGTCCCGAACGGCTGAACCCAACCCCCTCCCCTTCCCCAATCCCTTTTCCGGCTACTTCCCCTTCCCCACACCCCAATTTCGTCCCCCATCCCCTTAAAACACCTTGATTTCGGCCCTTCAAACACGCTCGATTTTGGTCATGGTTATGGTGGTTTAGTGGCGACAGAAGGGGGTGGTGGAGGGTTGCGAACGGCGCGATGGCCGGTATGGCTTGGGTCTGGTCGTTGAGGGTATGACGACGCGTTTGGGCCGGTGATAGGGGCGGGGAGGTGGTTGGGTAGCGGTGGAGCTAGGGTCTGGTTGAATTTTTAGTTTTTTTGTTTTTTTTTTGAGAAAAAAATAAAAATAATTAATGAATGTTAATTGCTAATTATTATTTCTTAAAACAAAATTAAAATTAAAACTATTTTTTTTACCAATCACGTGTTGACACGTGTAAATCAAACTTAATAAAAAAAAAATTACCTACTCAACCGGTTACAAGTCACTTGGGATCATTTTGATTGGATTGAGTTAAAAAAATCCCAAAGGTGGAATTATTTTTCGCGGATGCCCCAAAGGTATGATTATTCCCAACAATTTTCCCTTACAATTTTGCCCTTAATGAGGAGAGCAAGATGACAGCCATTAGATTATGTACGATCAACGGTCGGTTCTCATATGATCTTGATATGTATATATATATATATATATATATATATATATATATAAATATATATATATATATATATATATATATATATATATATATATATATATATATATATATATATATATAGATAGATAGATAGATAGATAGATAGATATGAATTAAATATTTTGAGATTAGGAATTTTATCTTATATTTTAAAATTAATATAATACTCCCTTCGTCCGCAATTGATAGTCACTTTTGCTAAAAAAATCACGGGAATTAAGGAGAAATAAAGAAAGTACATTGAAAAAGTAAATTTACATTGGGTATGCAAAAAAATAGAGAGAGAAAGTGATTAAAGTACATGGGAAAGTTAAATTTGCACAAATATTTTTGCAAATGTTAGAGAATTTTGGTAAAATAATAATATTAATAGTACTTGAAAAAGAAAATGTGACTAATATTTTGAGTCACCAAAAATGACAAAAGTGACTATTAATCAGGGACAGAGGGAGTAATAACTTTAATCACAAAATATGAAAAATATTTTTGGTAAAAAGTACTTAAAAACCGTGTATCCCACGAGTTTCATCTAGTATGATTAGTGCTGTCAAATTTCAAACCGAAACCGTTTAACTGCCCGAAACCAATCGACCCAAAAGAGAACCGAACCAATTAAAAACCGATTTTGTAAAATT